ACACTTGAGCAGGTTCGATGGAATTAAATATTGTAAGGGTTCATTTAGAAACTACTATAATCTCTCTTCAACTGCTTAGCACGATCAAATCACTACAAAGAGGAAGGAAATGAAGCTTTTAACAAAATAATTAACAAATATACGAACTAGACAATAACATAGAATGTGAAAGTCGACTATTTTATTGACATTTCAAAGAAGTATATATAAGTTGTACTGCAGAAGCCAACATACGCAGCAAGCTAGATGAAAGATGAGGTAAACATAAGTTGAACTCCAAGAGGCTACATATACAACAAACTAGACTAAACATCTATCGTACATGTTTTTATCAACTTTTAGCTTCACAATTTACTATAGATATATGTTCAAAAGAGACTCCTTAATTGTCTCTACTGAACCTGCTACCAAGCCAGTGAAAGATTTGCAGTCCACATGGAAAAATTAACAAAACTTTCATTATAGTATACCAATAATCTTCCAGAAAAGATTCTTGGATTGTTTTCTTCTGCAACATTATCCATAAAAGATAACCTTTGACACTAATGATGCATGGATGAATCCCTTTAATCCATCTTGGCAAATATACCCCTTGATTTTGAGTCCTAGTTTCTGGCCGAGGCTTCCTTGATTCGTACCACATATGCTTCTCATATATGATGAAATCATCTTAGTAAAGAAACACAATAGTATAAAAGTACAATACCAATGAAGTTATAATACCAAGCAAAATTTGATTTTTTGCGGAACAGGATTGTTGGTAAATTATATATTCTTTGGACGTGAAATCGAGTTTTATATTTTCATAAGGGAAGAAGCATGATTGGATGTGCTCTAAGGTTTTTATGAAGAAGGCATAGTATGAGAATCAACTGTGCTATGTGAATTGGATCATCTTTAGTTGAATCATTTAAACAATGTGTCAGGTGATGGATTCACTAGGTGACCTTAATACCGCACATGGCTATTCCAGAGATATTAGAATTCAGTTATATGTCTTGTGAATGAAATGGCACAAACCTATGGTTAAAGGTATTGCTATCCGGCTATCTAGAAATTCAATGTATGAATAAAGGGGCTTTTAAGCGCTTCCCTCGTCTTAGAGTTGCATATTCAATTTACGTTAAATAATGAGAAGAATTTGCAACCGTTAGAAGCACAACTGATGCATTCTACTCTTAGTACAAAGACGTGCAAGACTTTTGCCACGAAGAGCTTCTTTTATACATATGAACTATAAGCTTTTCATGTATTTTACACCTCGACTGCTTCGAGTGGTTGTCCCAGGCAAATGAACAAGTGAAAGAAACTATATTTCTAGGAAAGATATAAGGGTTTTGCCAACTTATTGCACAGAATTCTAACAGTTAATCAGCAATAAACACATATCATGTGTAAGAAAAGTATAACATAATGAGTGAAAATGCTACACCTTCAATTACCTCCTTGTTTTTGTCTTCTCCGTATATCGTGACACAACAATTTTTCTTTCTTGGTTGTTTAACTCATAATGAACAACTTTAGAGATGGAGCAGTAACTATATGCACATTAGTCTGCAGAGATATCCACCAACCATGAACTGCAAGGCATTTAAGCAAGAAGTCTTAGTGTTTGCTGATTATTTCTTCTCAAAAGTTATCTATTAATTCTAAGCAAAAGAAGTATGTTTATGCTACAATGCATGAACTGTTAACATCTTAACATACCAAGCAAGTTGAAAAATAGAGTTCAAAGGTCCATAAAATTAAAAAATTGTTGAACCTTTCCCTCTGTTTTTCACAAAGGGCTGCAATACTTAATGAAGTACAAAAAGGTTTGCACTAGTAGTTAATCATAATATCAAGTGATTTGGAGACATCTTTTCTTGCCTAGGACTAGAACCACAATTGGCCTGTTCACAAAACTCACTGTCTGAAACCGGAAAATGAATAGACAACTACATTTAGAGAAAAAATTATTTCCACAACCACTGATGTATTATTAAACATATACATGAGTATAAATATTGGTAATGAGTATATCAAGTGAAGGAAATACCCAATACTCAGATAGAAGAAGTAACAAATTCATGAAATTAAAATTCAAATCCAAAATATGAGATTCCAAAACTAACTACATAGATATGTATAACTTCGAGGTAACACTCACTTCTTTGAAATCTCCATTGGAGAATAATGACAATGAATGTTGATAAAATTAGAATATTTCACCAATATCTGACGCATTCATTGCTATTGTATGTATAAAATTTTCTAAGAAAAGAAAAGAACAATTTGAGTTTAAAGTATCAAGTAAATAACAAAAGAAAAAGCCCGTCAAGGACTTAGAGACGAGAAGCAAAACTCGTCCCTATAAACATCCTTTTAGGGACCAGATTTTTGACTCATCTCTGAATGTTGGTCTTTACTAAGCTTTTTTCTTGTAGTGTAATATCCCTACTGTATCCAAAATTTCAACGACTCTCAGGAGTACTCTAAATCATCCAACAAAATAATAATAAGCACTCTAAACTGTTGTTGTTATTAGAAAAAAGTCATAACTTTTCCCCTCAATTTTTTCTAAAAAAATCACTTAAACTATTGTGATATCTAGTATACATCTAATCTTATTCAATGTCATATTAATACCCCTTAAAAGATGACATGACATACAAAGTGTCTTCACCTTTCTTAAGGTCGGTGAAAAGAAGAAAATTTATGTTAAAATGAGAAGTTTAAATATGTGGCACTATTTTATTGGTCATTATATAATTATGCATTATATTTTCTCATATAGGAGTATTAATCATGTCATTTTATTCTTTTTTATCTTTTTATTGGTGATCCAATTTCTTTAAAACTTTTATATTTTTATTTTTTTTAAAAAAGTTCTTCTTTACAACTGATGGTTTCTTCAAGTATATATTCATTACTCTATCTTAAAAAGAGGAACTCTAGATACAAGTACAAAAACTGTGGGAATGTTGATTTCCACCGAAAAATTAATAATTTTAACTGAAGTTCATAGTTGTTATTCGAACTCGCCGGAGGATTCACCGGAGAAGAACATCAAAATAAATATGAAAAATAATGGCTTCTATTGAAAATCCTATAATATTTATGTCATGTTTCATTGCCTACATTTCTCAAAAATTCATGAAAGAAAATCATTTTCTATCTTTGTTTTTGTTTATTCTTGCCGGAGCACCAACCAATTATCACAATGTAATTTTTGGTCTCAAGCCATCAATAGCATATTTGATTTTGCACTCACAAAGAAAATACTAATGAAATGCTTGATTTTCATCCATAATCATCAAGATTTTAAAAGAACATTTACAGATCTGAAAGTTTTATTTGTTTCGCCGACAACAATGGTGTTGTCTACCGCCCATTACCGCTGCCAACATCACTAAACTTTATAATTGTCATATTGACTCATGTTCTCTCTTCATTTTTTTCCCTTCAATTTATGAATAATGAAGAAGAAAAAAAATGGACTTTGAGAGAAAGAAATGTATGGTTGATGGAGAAAGAAAGCCCAGATTTCTACTGCGAAAGTCTAAAAAAAATATAAAGCAAAAATGGTTTGAAAAAATATCAAAATAATCTTATTTATGTATCAAAACGCTTGTATAACACATTTTTCACATAAAAATTGGTATTATCCTTCGAAGGAGGTATTAATTTCACTTTAAACAAGATTGAATTTGTAATAGATCATCATGATAGTTTAAGTGTGTAAATGACTTTTTGAAAATAAATTCAGAAAAAAGTTATGTCTTTTGTGTTATTATTATTGTTGTAACTTGTTGTGATTTATATTATATGAAGTTTTTAGTTTAAGCAAATCCTTTAAGAAATTTGTTCACAAGTTAGAGGTGTTTTTACTAAGTAATCCGTAGACAAATATATTCTTTTATTATATGAAAATTTACTCATCAAAACAAGGAATGAATTTTCAATAAAAAGATTAATCACCTGTTAATTATATAAAATAAATTATTAACTTACAAAAACTAAATATAAAAGTTAAAATCACTAGTACATTTATATATATAAAATATATAATATATGGACAAGACGAGGGAATATTATGCAGGGCCCTTCGACTATACCTTTTAATTTAAATCTTCTTTATAATTAAGACCCTACACTGAAAATAGTCAAGCAAAGAAAGACCTAGATAATATTTTGAGACAACATTAATAAACGTATCTACTCATAAAGTGTCTATAACGTGTCTACTTGCTCACTCTTTACTCTCATTGGCTAAAAAAATTCTGATGACTAGTTTAACAGTAAAGGACTCACCCACTTTGTTAGATACATAAAAATTTTAGTTCATTCAAAAATCACTTCTTAATTATGAAAACTTTAAATTATATTTAAAGATAGGGTTCCGTATGTGAAAAAAAAAGCTAATAATCAGTTTTCCAAATAAAATGTTATTTTCTCTCCTTCGCAAAAAATACACTAAAAGGAACTATATCTTCAACTTTATTTGTTTTAAGAAATGAAAATATAAGAGAAGCATTGTTAAGAAGTCCACATCAGTAGAGAGACGAAAAATTAATTTCTGTGTATGAGCTTGAACATAATCTTTTCTTATGATACAATTTTTGAAGTTGAATTAGGTTAAAGTGTCATATTTTTATATGTTGATATTTTATACACGCTTTCAAACACAATTAGTCAATTTTAAAAATATCATTTTTTAATTTTAAAAATAAAATTCTTTTTTTAAAATAATATTTTTTTTATAATAAAACATGATTAAATACCCATATAAACCAGCGACATAAGCAACATTGGCTGATATATAAAGTTACTGTATTATAAATGGACTAATGTGAGCATTTAACAGCTAATTTATGAGCTTGCCCCAATTACGTGTGTGCTCCACATGTCAAAAAAAACAATTCCCTTTTTTGGGGGGTTATTTACAGTAACAAAAATAACCAACCCACGACTTTCCCACGCTTACAATTCATCCTTAAAATAGGTCTAATTTCTCTTTCACAATCTTCAATATCTATCGAAAAATAAAAGCTACCTAAGTCAGTCTCATTTGTATGGCTGCTTATCATTTTAATGACAATTCTCCTTCATTAGAAAATCTTTCACCCACTGGGGGAGGAAGTAGCACTAGGCATCCCAATTTCAGAGGAATTCGACAGAGGAATGGGAAATGGGTCTCCGAAATTCGCGAGCCTCGAAAGACCACACGTATATGGTTAGGTACTTTTCCCATTCCTGAAATGGCAGCTGTCGCTTACGATGTTGCAGCTTTGGCATTAAAAGGTCCTGATGCGCAATTAAACTTTCCTGATCGTGCATACTCCTACCCTGTCCCTGCTTCTCTGTCAGCCGCAGATATTCGTACTGCGGCTGCTAATGCTGCTGCTGCTAGAGCACCTCCTTTGTCAGAAATCAATACAGCAGCAGGAGGAGGACAAGGGCAAGAGTTTGTGGACGAAGAGGAAATATTTGGAATGCCGAAATTGCTTGATGATATGGCAGAGGCAATGCTTGTTAGCCCGCCAAGGATGCATCAGTACGACGAATCACCTGAAAACTCTGATGCAGATAGTCTCTGGGGTTATCCATGAGTAAAATATATGTACAGTCCAGAAACTAAAATAACACAACCACTATTTATAAGTTAGTAGGGGTTTGCATTATGTTTTTGTTTGTTATGCTGTTTGTTTCGGTAAAACAAATACTAGTTTCTAGAAAAAACAAACAAGAAGAAGCAACAAGTTACTTTACTTTTATTGAAAACAATATAATGAATTTGACTTTCTAAAAGAAGTAAAAAATTGTTTTCATGTTTTCAGTAAGATATACATACAGCCAAATATTTGTTGGTGAGAGAGAAGTTTGTTTCTTGTGAATATAAGGGAATGATAGCTAATTAGAATAATAATGTCGTCTTCTAAGTTCCAGCCCAGAGATTTAATTATATGGAGTCAAGGGAGCTTTTGCTGAAGGTCTGACTATTGGGTATCAATATTATGTTGTATGTGTCAGAATGCCCAATCCTATCCTACTCGTTTTTGGACATATACGTATTAATGAATGATGAAAATGATAGATTATCTTACTCATTGTTTCCATTTATATAATCCACTCCTCTTTTTAGTCAATGCAAAAAAAAACAAAATAGTGTGTTTTTTTATTCAGTAACAAATGTTCATTGTTATCTATTTGAAAGTGTTTTTTTTTTTTAATTTTAGGGATAATGTATAAGTATTTCCCTACACTATGATCGAAATTCTAGAGACACACCTTAACTAAACTAAGGTCCTATTATCTCTAAACTTTTTTTTTTTGTAATTTTGTGCACCTTTTTGACTTACGTGGCATTCAAATATCTCGCACGCATCTTAATCGCGTGGAATCACGGAGTGTGCCATGTAAGACAAAAGATGCACAAAATTACAAAAAAAAATTATTTCAGAGGGATAATAGGACCTTAATTTAGTTAAGGTGTGTTTCTGGAATTTCAATCATAGTCTAAAAGGGGTACTTGTGCATTTTTCCTAAATTTTATGTTGAGTTAAATTACAGTATATAAAGGCATAATACATAAATATGCCCCTTAATTTGGCTTCGAATCACATTTATGCCCCTTCAACTTTGGGTTTGCACAGGTAGACACTTAAACTTGTATAAAGTTGAACAAATAGACACACGTGTCCGACATGTCATTTCTTGTCTTACGTGGTATTCTACGCATATTTTGCCATGGAGGACTCATGTTGTTTATTTATTTAAAAGTTGAATAGTTAAAATGTCTGTTTGTACATTATAAAAATTGAAGGTTAAAGTTAAAATTTAAAACAAAATTTAAAATCCATATATGTATTATGCCTATATAAAATAGGAAACAAAAAGTATTACATTTTGTGTTGAAGTTGGCTTAATAACCTACGTTTGGTACCCTCTCATTTCCATTTTTGGTAAATGTATTTGAGTTAATATCAAATCAAAATTATATAATTTCTGTTATTTACTTTCTTCATTTATTTTTATTTATCACTTTTAACTTATCAATAAAAGATAAGATTAAAAAAACAAAGGGAATATGGATTTTGTTAAGTATCAAATATGACCAAGAGAGTTGTTAGGATGGTAAGCAATCCCCCATCACTTTTAATTTGAAAGTTGTGAGTTTGAGTCAACAAGGGAGCCAATAGGGTGAGGTTTTAAAAAAAGTTAAATACCAATTATAAATATAAATTAAAATATGAAAGTTATCCTTTAGATGAAAACGGGCTAAAATTTCACTTGTCCTTATTATTATTTTTTTGGAAAATGGTTAAAATTGTCCCTAGACTATGTAAAATAGATTATTTATACTCCCCATTACATTTTGGGATAAAAAATATCTTCGTTGTTATCTTAAGAGACCACAAATATCACAAATATCCTCAAGAGTTAACACCCAAATTTTTTAATGACATGGCATGCCATATGAGACTAATCTCTCTACCTAAGTAGAACTTGATCTTTAGTGGTGACAAAGTTGCCACAAAATTTTAAAATATTGCCACTAAAGATTATGAGTGACTTTTAGTGACAACTAATAGTAAAACCTATTTTTTCAACAAAAAAATATGATAATTAATTTTCGATTGCAACTTAATTTTCTAAAAGTAAATAACTTACAATATTAATAATAAAAACACCCAATATTATTACGAAAAATTATGAAAATTACTTCTCGATTCACATCTCCTACTATATAATGCATCATTGTACATTTTATACATTAACATATAACATAAAAATAAAATATACAGTGTCTTCAAACTCCTACTTAATCGATATTATTTTTATTTTTTTTAAATAATGAAAAAAAAACACAAAATGTAATACTTTCTGTTTCCTATTTTATATAGGCATAATACATATATTGCACTTTAAACTTGGTTTCAAATTTTAATTTTGACCTCCAACTTTCATAATGGACAAACATACACTTTAGTTATTTAACTTTTAAATAAATAAACACATGACACTACAACAAAAATGACCATTACATTTAATTCTTAATTGCCACTAAACATGTATTTTTAGCGGCAATTGTCACTCTTTGTATATGTCCCTAAAGCCTTTAGCGATATTGATTCTAATGGACTTAACTAATGTCGTTAAAAACGTTAACACTCTTTATTAGTGCCAATATTTAATGTCACTAAAAGTTGTTTCTGTTGTAGTGTGAGTCATACATGACATAATATACGTAGGACAAAAAATGACACGTAGGATGACATGCAGGACATGTGTTTCTATTTGTTCAACTTTATACAAGTTTAAGTGTCTATTTGTGCACACCCAAAATTGAAAGATATAAATATAATGCTAAACCAAGTTAAATAATATATTTTTGTATTATACCGAATTTTTTTTTTTTTTTTTGTGTCATTGTTAAAAAGGATAAAAGAAATTTAAGGAGCCGCTTAAAACTTTATCCTTGAATTGATGAATGAACCAAATGACAATATCATAGTGTTTGGTCATCCATGATCAAGACTATTGACTACTTTATTCTAGCATAGTACATTTCTTATTCTAATCAATTGGGAATTGAAATTGGAATAGAAATATGAAAGGTTAACTCTAATACTTGAGGTTTACCTTTCATGTAAATGCCTTTTGGTCCCCTATAGCTTTTGGTTAAAAGACAATTGGCTAGTAGCTTTCTTTTTTAAAATACTGCTAGTACCAATTAAGGGATTTATAAAGGATAAAGGGCTCTTCTTTCCAAAATTGTACATAATGGCTATCATAAACTGAAAATGACTTGTTAGCAGAAATGTTACGTTTAGTATATTCAAAGACAATATTTGATGTAGTCACAATCTTGATCAAGTGAAATGTTTGTTACATTGCCATGATATAAATGTTAAAAACTTGACAAGGTTTGTAAAATATTTATTGTTACTTTAATAAAGAACTTTGAATTATTGTAATGTTATTGTTTGAGCATTAAAATGATATTAAATTCAAAGTATTTATATGTATGAAATACTCCTTCAATTTTACTTATATTTCAGTTAACAACGTAACATTTTAAAAATATTTTAATGAGTAAACATTCTCGAAATTAATTTCTTTGTTCGTAACTTCACATAAGAAAATAAGGATAAATCCACTTTTGTAAAAGGAAAAACACATATATAATGTTGAAACAATTTTTAAAAAAATCTTGAAGGATTATTAGCAAACCGTACAACAAATAATTAATTTTATATTTTAAAATGTCATTTAGTGTAATAATAAACAAATAAAAGAATTTTTGTAAAAGCATCAAGGAAAATGATTCTATACGTAAATATGTCATTTAATTTGGCCTCAATTCCTAGTCATGCCTTCTAACTTTGTGTGTACAAATTTGAACAAATAGATATATATTCTATTTGGCATCCTATATGACAATTTGTATCCAACATAGTGTCCTATGTGTATTATGTCATGTAAAATTCATGTGTCTACTTGTTTAATTTTATATAAGTTTAAGGGGAAATGATAAATATGCCCCTGAACTATCGTAAATGGTATGCAAATACAATTCGTCATACTTTTGGCACACAGGTTCCCCTGCCGTCCAAAAACTAGATTGTATATGCCGTCCACTCTAACGAAAGATTAAATAGGGACATGTGGCGCAATCTTATCCATCGATCCGATGTCGGGTTGGTGAATAAGATTATGACACATGTACGTCCGTTAGTAAAAATGGTATATATGTTTTAGTGTTTGGACGGCAGGGGCACCTGTGTGCCAAAAGTATTATAAATTATATTTGCGTACCATTTACGATAGTTCATGGGCATATTTATTATTTTTACCTAAGTTTAATTGTGTAGATGTGCAATTCAAAATTAAAAAAACATAAATATAAAATGATATATACCTATTTATACATTGATTTCACTATTGAGAAGTAATATATTATGACAAACGCGTACCACTCAATAAAAGTATGTCAAATCAACCTATAGTCTTCCTCAAACATCTTCTGTGCACACAACCTTATTTGAAACATGAAAAATTTAGTACCATCAACCTTTTATTTTGTAAAAAATTAAGGATATGTCGCTTCTCTCAACACGTCATTAAAACTCAACTTTTGGCTACAAAGCACCATAAATAAACAAAGGTTTAGTACACCTTTAAAATTATAAATGATGGAGATTAGTAACTTTTGTTATTCATGATATAGAGTAAATTCTATTAGAACATGATCACCAATAAATTAAAAAGAAAGAGAGAACAGAAAGATATCATTATTCTTTTCTTCTCTGGATAGGACAACAGCATCAACTTGCCATTTTCCTAGTTATTTTGATATTGGTGGGAGACTTTGGCCTACATTGAAAAAAAAATCTAATTTTGTCGTATTAACCAAATTTGGTAAATTTTAATAATCAGTTTTTTTTTAATCAACCCGAAAACTGGTTCTAACTAGGTTTAGAGGAAATGTAAATTGTGAAAACCTGAAAAACAATATCATCATATAAGATTTGAAGTTTATGAATATATAATTCAAGACCCTTATATGTTATTGGATTCTAAAGGTATGATTTATACTTACAACAACATACACCGGTGTAATATGAGGTGTGGAGAAGGTAGTGTGCAGAGATTTTACCCCTAATACATTAGGAAGTAGTGAAGTTGTATTCGAGAAACCTTGAATATAACAACAGTTCAGAAAAATAATATAATGGAAGTGAAGAAGTCACGAAAGAAATACTAAAAATAGCATAACAAAATATTCAGAAAAGAAAAAAAGCAATACCTACAAATTACAATAATATAATATTATAATTGAAGTATAAGAAGCGGCAAATGTACTACAAATTGAAGAATAAGAAACAACAATTATAATACTACAAGTACTAGTATATATGGATAATTGAGACTAACACTCAGCTGCCTAGTGACCTTTTATTCTAATTTGTGTCCTACGTAGCCTTTTATTTAAAGTCATATTCTTGATAAACTGAAATTGTCACGTCCTGTCTAATTAACTAGCCTCAATACTTTTTTGACCCACGACTTACCTCTACCTCTCCTAAAACAATTCATGGT